GACAATGGCTAGAAGCATCATCCACAGCTGTGTTAGATGCACCAAGGCTAGACCAAAGCTGATACACCAGATCATGGGCAATCTCCTAGCACAACGAGTCACACAAGCACGCCCGTTTCTTAATGTAGGCGTCGACTACTGTGGACCAATCTCGATCCACCATAAGATCCGAGGCAAAAGACCCGATAAGGCGTACATCGCCGTGTTTTGCTACTTTTCCACAAAGGCAGTACACCTGGAGCTGGTAAGCGACCTGACCACAGATGCATTCTTGGCCGCCCTGCGTCGATTCTTAAGCAGACGTGGGAAGTGCCAAACTATTCATTGCGACAATGCAACGAACTTTGTGGGTGCAAACAACCAGCTTAAAGAATTAGAAGACTCTATATTCAGCTCAAAGGCAAGTGCTCTGATCACGAATCATTGCAACAAAAAGCAAGTGGATTTTAAATTCATTCCTCCCAGGGCTCCATCGTTTGGCGGCCTCTGGGAAGCGGCGGTAAAATCAGCAAAAAAGCTGTTGATAACAACCACCAACACAGCCTCATTGACATTTGAAGAACTAAACACAGTGATAATCGAAATTGAAGCAATTCTCAAATTGATCAAATTGACGTCAGGAGGCGTTGTCAATGGTTCACCAATCAAGAAGTGTCCTGGGGTGAGCGCTGTTGTATCAGTGGGATCATTTGACATTGGAGTGATGGGTCGAGATTTGAGAATTGCTTCAATTTGGATTATCACTGTGTTTAGTTCTTCAAATGTCAATGAGGCTGTGTTGGTGGTTGTTATCAACAGCTTTTTTGCTGATTTTACCGCCGCTTCCCAGAGGCCGCCAAACGATGGAGCCCTGGGAGGAATGAATTTAAAATCCACTTGCTTTTTGTTGCAATGATTCGTGATCAGAGCACTTGCCTTTGAGCTGAATATAGAGTCTTCTAATTCTTTAAGCTGGTTGTTTGCACCCACAAAGTTCGTTGCATTGTCGCAATGAATAGTTTGGCACTTCCCACGTCTGCTTAAGAATCGACGCAGGGCGGCCAAGAATGCATCTGTGGTCAGGTCGCTTACCAGCTCCAGGTGTACTGCCTTTGTGGAAAAGTAGCAAAACACGGCGATGTACGCCTTATCGGGTCTTTTGCCTCGGATCTTATGGTGGATCGAGATTGGTCCACAGTAGTCGACGCCTACATTAAGAAACGGGCGTGCTTGTGTGACTCGTTGTGCTAGGAGATTGCCCATGATCTGGTGTATCAGCTTTGGTCTAGCCTTGGTGCATCTAACACAGCTGTGGATGATGCTTCTAGCCATTGTCTTGTCATTGATAATCCAATATTGTTGTCTTGCGATTGCCCTTAATGCTTGAGCACCACAATGCGATTCCTCTCGACAGGACATCGGCTGCGTTGTTGGCCGATGACACGTCGTGACGCCATTTTGACTGATTTGTTAATGCCTGGATTTTGGCTATTCGATTTGCCACAAAGGTATGGTATGTTGATGACGATGCGTTTATCCAGGATAAAACAACGGTGGAATCACTCCAAAACCATCCTGAAACCGTTGTAATGTCCATGTGCAGATCCTGTCGGACTCGGATTGTGAGCTCACTGCAGCACAAAGTTCTAACAGTGGTAGTGATTGTTTGGCTGTCGGCGCCACACGTGATTTCGAACAGAGCAGTCTTACTGACACTTGGTTGTTTTTGTATGTAGCGCGTACATATACTGCTGCGCCATATGCTCGTTCTGATGCATCTACAAACTTATGGAGTTCTTGGGTAACTGGAATTTTACCATCGTAGATATGCCGGGGAATTTGCATTTTGTTCAATGTTTGTAAGTCGTCCCGGTATTCTTTCCATTCGGTTTGGTGTTGTAATGGTAATTCGTTATCCCAATCCAGTTTGAGCTCCCAAAGTTGTTGCATGAAGATTTTTGCCTTTACTACCACCGGTGCAAAGAGTCAAAGATTTGGGCCAGTTCGGAACATACCACCCGTTTGGTGATGCGTGTAGCCTGGCTTTTCTGTGTTCGTCCACACAATGTATCCTTCTTCGGCATCCAGATGAGACCCTGAGTTTTCACGCTGTAGTGCTCTAGTGTCTCTCCTAATTTTACATCGGTTACAATATCCTCTTTGGGGATTCCTTGGAGAAGTTGCTCATTGTTGGAGCACCACTTGCGCAATTTGAATCCGGACGGTAGAAATATCTTATTTAGTTCTTGTCGAGCATGAATTGCCTCTGAAATCGTGTTTGCTCCAGTTAGACAGTCGTCAACATAGAAATCTGTTTTTAATGTTGTTGATCCTACTGGTAGTCTGTCTTTGTATTGTATTGCCAAATGATCCAGACATTTCGTTGCTAGGAACGGAGCAGCTGTTGTCCCATATGTTACTGTTTTCAGGCGATAGTACCTGATCTCTTCGGATGGATTGCTTCTCCAGACTATCATCTGATGGAATTGATCCTCCGGATTCATCCACACTTGCCGGTACATCTTTTCTATGTCCGCTGTGAATACGTACTTATGAATGGACATAAGTTCGCTCTGAACGGTGGGTCCAGCCTGCAGAATGTCGTTCAAAGATTTCCCGCTTGTTGATTTGCATGAGGCATCGAATACTACCCGAAGCTTTGTGGTGGTGCTCTCAGGTTTGAGTACACAATGATGTGGAATGAAGTAGTGCCTTTTGGGAACTTTTGATGCTGGCTCAATCTTCATATGTCCTAGTCCTTCATACTCTTCCATGAAGTCCACATAACTCTTCCAAGTTTCTGTTGAGCTTCGCCGCTCCAACGCTAGGAATCTTTTTGTTGCGGTTTCCAACGAAACCTATTCGGAAAATAGGAGCTTTACAATAAAACGGCCGTCTGAAGCTGTCTGAAGATTTTCTATAAAATGAGCTTCACACCGTGCTTCCACTGGAGTGCGTGGTTTGTCTTCCGTCTCTAGATTGTCCAGAGTGCAGAATCTTTCCATGAGCTCGTTTACTCCCGTTGCACAAATGGGTGAGGAATTGTGGGCAGATTTGACTTTTCCTGCCACAATCCATCCCAGCTTAGCTGTTGATCTGGTAGCAGCAGCGAGTAGTAATGCTCGACTCCGATTTACATGTCTGTGGCTGAACAGATATAGTGTTTTTTTTTTTTAAGTTCAGAGGAAAGGTAGCATGAGTCTACAAGAAGAATTTACAATCGTTAATATTTTCCGTCATTTACCTCCAGTATTTGAACTATTTAAATAGAGGGGGCTTAAGAGGGCTAAGTTCGGGTTTTCAGATACATATATTGTTGTTGAGGAACCAAAATTGAGGCAAAAACAATTAAAGTCAAGTATTTAAAACAAGACAGTTAAGTAGAAAATTGATTCATTAATCGGATAAAATTATGTGGGCAGGGCTGAGAGATCTAGATATCTAAAAATATTCGACGGAATATCAAAATTGTTTCTGCTTCGAACTGTATTGGAAAAAGCAATAATGCAGCTGGCTGGATGACAACAAAGCAATAATATAAGTCCAGTCCACATCATTGCAAAGCGACTGTCCCTGCATGGAGCAAACTGAGATCCTCGCCCGCATACAGCCAAAGCATGTCCATTTTCAAGGCGCGGTATGGACGACACAAAAATGTGACGTGTTTTCGGGAATTAAGAAAAAAAGATTGTTATCCCCCCCTGTATCTTTCAGTGTAAAAGAGTTCGATGATGCGCTGGCCCAGGATGTGGTTGACCTAAAGGAGCTGCGCAGACTGACGTTTAATGGTGGGATATCACACTTCTGATAGGCGTAGTAATTCATGGACATGAATCCAATCCAATCCACAGGTGTGCCCGATGTACAAAGCTTCCGTGCACTCAGCTGGAAACTGCTGTTGGGCTACTTGGGACCAAGACGCAGCAGTTGGACGACCACGCTGGCCCAGAAGCGTGCCCTGTACCAGCAGTTCATTGAGGAATTGGTACTCCCCCGGGACACAGCTGCAATGGAGCTGGAGAAGGCGACGGGGACGGGGACGTCGCTGTTGATTCAAGGGGCGTTGGCCTACAAGATCATCCGCTTAGCGAGGGGCCAGAAAGCGCCTGGAACACATTCTTCAATGACATGGCCCTGTTACGTACAGGGCAAGAATGAGATTGTCGGACCCATCTACTATGTGATGGCCTCGGATCCGGATCTCTCGTACCGCGCCCACGCGGAGGCAGACTGTTTCTTCTGCTTCACGGCTCTAATGAGCGAGATACGCGACTTCTTCATCAAGACTCTGGACGATGCGGAGGGTGGTATAAAGTTCATGATGGGCCTGCTATCTAACATGCTGAAGACTAAAGATATAGCATCTGAAGAGCCAAGAGCTGCCTCCGCAGTACTACAGCTTCAGGTGGCTCACCCTCCTGCTCTCGCAGGAGTTTCCACTGCCCGATGTGCTGCGAATTTGGGATTAGGTATTCTCGGACGAGCAGCGCTTTAATTTTCTCATCAAAATCTGCTGAACCATGATATTGTAAGCATGCGCTGACTTTGAACTGATTCATTTGCATTTACTGATGTATTTACTGATTTATAGAATCCAAAGGGAAGCAATTTTAGAGAACGACTTTGCCTCGAATGTGAAGCTGCTGCAAAACTATCCACCCATTGACATAAACGTTGTGATTACTCATGCAGTCTCCCTGGCGTAGCACTCACTTTTAGTGATACCACAGATATTACATATAATACCCGATTCCGGGTAGAGTCTGACAAAGCAATAATCCACAGTGTCTAGTTATCATGTTCAATAGTTGGAAGCCTAGGACCCAACAAAAGATCGAACACTAGCGCTGTTTCTCTGTTTTATACGTTACAATTCATAATAAACGAATTTGCCGCATGTGTTTGTGTGGAGATTAAAATGCGAAAACATATGTAAAATTGAGTGATCATAGCTCAAGTGTAATTTTGTGTTCGTGTGTGGCATCGTCAAAAAACACAGTAAAAAATATATATAACATTGATTACTTGGCCAAACGTGGGGCCGTATCCTTGCAAATCGTCTGAGCAATAAACTCCACCAGTGTTCGGGTCGGGCGGCCGGCCATTCCCTTGCGCAGATACTCGTATTCGAAGCCCTTTGTCACCATAACATTTGTGGCATCCTTTGAGGGAGAAAGTCCATAAGATCTGCGCCCCAACAAAGCGCCCCACAATACTCACAATATACATCCACTGGCCACAGGGCACAAACTCACGGAGAAAGGCAGCGGCCTTGCAGGGACGTCCACCTCGGTCAATGCCATAGTTCTGCACATCGCTGCGTCCCCCGGCACGCACGGCCTTGCTGTAATATTCCCACAATGGGAAGCGCCACACACGATCTCCGGTATGCATGCTGGCGTGCTTGATCTGCTGCCACAGGATCTCCGAGTTGGTAAAGACCCCCGCAGCCGACTCATCCAGGGCCTGGCGCATGTAGCCCGAGCAGGTGCCGACGTCAATGATGCACTTGGGACAGAAGTTTTGCGCATACAGCAGGGCGTCTGCCAGGACCAGTACATCCTCGTGATCGGTGCACTGGATCTCGATGGTCTTGCCGTTCATGGACTTGACCATGTCCCCAGTACGGACCGAATTGCAGCCCACTACGTTTTCACAAAGAGGTATCAGGCCGCGAATGTTGACCTAAGAACAGCATTATTATTCAAGGAGATATCATTTCTGTCCTGAGTACTTACCGGTAAACGCAGGCCAGCCACAGCTCGACAACAGGCCACCACACCGGCGGCCCCGGTCATGTCGCCACGCATATGGAAGAGCTCATGTTTCTGTTTCAGGCACAATCCTCCAGCATCGTAAGTCACGCCTTGGCCCACCAGCACAATGGGGCGCTCCTCGGCACAGGTGCCATAGTAACTCAGCTCCAGGAAGATGGGTGGCTCGCACGAGGCCTTCCCACAGCCAGGGAAGGCGTGCATTGACTGGCTCTCGGCCCAGCCCTCGACCTTGGACCTCCACATTGACACCGGATTTGCACAGCACCTCGACGACATTCTGCGCAAAAGCT